ACATCTTTATTTAGAAAAAAATTAAAAGTTAACATCTTTATTTAGGAAAAAAATTGAAAATTGACATCATTATTTAAAAATTGATAAAGTTAACATCCTTAAATAGAAAAAGTGCAAAGTTGGAATATTTATTTGCACCTTTACTCCATCAATACAGATCCATACTCGTTAACATTCCATAACTAATATGGAAATCTCCTATAAAAATTTTCTGGATTGTCTTCAGCTTCTCTTGTTGGGTTTCTGGTCCCAAATATGAGATGAGTTTCTCGAGACTACCTTTGTTGAAACAAACTCTACATCACTAGAAGGGATGAAAAGAAAAAATTCATCAAGATAATACTAGATCAATGCCAGCAGATGAAGACACCTTTTCACGTTTCAACAATAATCTTTGGCTTTGGCAGCAAATTAGGCACCTGAATATCAGAGTCAGCAGAACAAGCAAGTACTACAGTCATGATAAGAGAACCTCCTCTGAGGATGTGTGTTTGGGTCATCTCTCTCTTAGTTTTACCTTCAATGGACTCTTAATTGTAGGATCAATGTAGAATATACAAACAATAAGCAAAAATTTATATTAATAGAGTATATACAATTCAGAATTTAAATAAAAGTTTATGAATAAAACTATATGACATAAAAGCTCATTAATACCAATGAGCAAAAATTAAATTCATTTAAGAAAAAAGAAAAAAGAGAAAAATTATTTGTTTCCAGTAAAATGCACCGTTAAAACTAATTCACATAAAAATAAAAATCAGAGAAAAGGAATCAGGAAAATTAAATTCAACAGAAATGAACACAATGACAGATCTTCTTGGAGGATGAAAGACAACTGCCTGAAGCTTCTGCTGTGGAAAAGAAAAGAAAATTACAAAAATTATTACTGACCATTCTATCCATTGTTATGCTTAGAAGGGGCACAAATAACAGACACTGTAGAAACTCACCTAAGACTATATAGTTGGGTTGCTGGTTTTTTCCTTTTTGTGACTATAAATAGTTGCCCCTTCCAACAAATTTTCGAGTGGCAGGGTAATTATTTAAGGAATAACCTGGAGTTCCGCTAAAGGAGGAGTCATTATGCCAGTGATTGCAGCATCAACATACAACTCATACATTTTAACATCCATAACTGATATGACAATCTCCAATAAGAATTTCCCAGATCCTCTGAGCCTCTCCCCTTAGGTTTCCAGTCCCAAAACTGAAAATGTGTTCCTTATAACCATCACTGAACTCTAAAGTATACTTTACAACACCAGAGCCACAGGGATGGGTTATTTGACTGATGGGGCTTTCTTTATCTAAGCTTTTGTCCAGAAACAAGAAATGATCCATGAAGATCACACCATAAATAATAATAACAACATGTAAAGATATTTGTCATGTTTCAACAACTCTTCAGCTCTAGAAGCAAAATAAAATGAGCACTTACACCAGCCATAACAACAGAAGCCTCATCTGAAGATGTGTCTTAGGTCATATATCTGTTTAACGGACTTTTAATTTTAGGATGTCTGCAGGATACACCTTATATCTGTAAGCAAAAGTATCCATTGATGAGTTTACCACTAGGACAACAACTTCAACTCTAATTTATCTAAGAAAAAAAAAAAGGATCAAACTGACTGACGTCTATATGGTATGACTGACCATCCATACAGTACAAGCCAACAAAATTTAAATAAAAGTTCACGAATGAGAAATTTATGATCCACTATTACCTCCCTTCAATTTATCCAACTCAGAACTTACATATGTTAATGCTACAACTAATTTCTTGATTTTTTTAACAAAATCCCAACAAAAATTTACTCCTAATTTTATGTTTATTGCTTAATTAATGCCCTCGTCTTCAAAACAATCTCTTCATTTCTATATCTACAGGAAGAACAATAAAATCCCACCAAACCATTCATGCACATTTAAAATTATTAATCTATTCCACACAGAAAATTACTACAGCTTCCTCAGTTAATACAAGAGGTTACTATCTCAAGAAAACAGAATGTAAAAAACAAAAAGAAAATTACCTGTCTAGAGTTGGCGATGGCTAGAGAATGGGTCTCCAAAGAGAAGAGGACGACTCAGTCGTCCGTCAGCTGGTTCTCCTAATTCTCTTCAAAATCGCTCAGTTGCGTCCGCTTCGAGACCGATTCGAAATTTCAACTGATTGGGAAACATGGTGAAAGGAGACGATTGGAGTCCACACCACATTTAAGAAATTTTCAATTTTATTAAGTAAAACGCACCGTTCAAAGGCAACCGAACCAAAAGAAGAGGATAAAATATGACATGAAGAGATGGATCAACAAAAATCATAGATAGATCAAATTATTGTAACAAAATACACGAGAACTGCTTGTAGAGCAGATAGATTAAATCCAAAAGAAATCAACACAAATTCATACATTACACAAAGTAGACTGGATGCTGTAACCATATATCAACTACCAACATGAAAAAGATGTAAACAAATAAACTCGAGAAGCAACACAAAACAAAGACACATTATTTGCTGCCAGATCTTTCCCGGATAGGAAATCAGATGCACCTGCTTGCACCTATGTAAAATAAAATAAAATTAGAAAAATTAAGTTTTGATATTATATAGAACTTAGAAAGATCATGCACAAATAATATATAGAGAGTTTTAGAAGCTTACTCCCTAAGAGCGTTGGTTGGGTTTTTGGGTTTTTCTCTTCTTATGCCTGCCGTTGCATCTTCCAACAAATTTCTGCTGGTATTTCTCCACCTTCTTCACCATCCACCATGGTTTTCCACTAGTGAACGCAATGTACCCCAAACTAAGTCCCAACACCAGTCCACACCCATAACCCGCCAATGCAAACTTCCAATTAAAGAGTGTTGCAGACTCATCTTTTTCTTCATAAAATTTTGATGGAGGTGCTCCTGGTTCTTCCTCATTGTGGCATTTCTTTGTCAGCGGTAATCCACACAACCCAGAGTTCCCAATGTACGAATCATTTGAGAAAGTGTTGAACTGCTTCCCTTGAGGTATTTGGCCCACAAGCTCATTGTGTGAAAGTTGCAAAACTGAAAGGAATGCCAAATCTATCAATTGCTCTGGAATCCTGCCTTCAAGCTTGTTTGATGAGAAATCCAGTGATTCGAGTTCTGTCATTTTCCCCAAGGATGATGGAATTGGACCAGTGAGACTGTTGTGAGACAAGTTTAGCAATATAAGTGAATTGAGTTCTCCCAGCTCTTGAGGAATGTATCCATGAAATCCATTGCTTGACAAATCAACGGTTGTGAAAGTTTTTAATATATTTACCAACTCCACCTTCGTATCTTTAATTATTACCCTCACAGAATCCTTATAATAAGAATCACCAATATATTTGGAACCGCTTTCATCTTGATATACATCTCTCATAGCTTTAAAATTTTGGAAATATTTAGTTGGAAGCAGACCATCAAATTGATTCTGCGAGATGTCAATGATTCTCAATTGAGGGAAGCTAGGAAGTACAGTCATGGAATTGTTTATGGAGCCATGAAATCGATTGGATTGAAGGATGAGAACTTGTAACCTTGGAAGAACACCTAACCAATGTGGAAAGATATCATTGAAGTAGTTGTTCCCCACATCTAGAACTTCCAAGAGACTACAATTAACCAACGATCGTGGCAATTTCCCTTCCAACTGGTTGCTATTTAGGTTAAGAGTTCTCAAAAAAGTGTTGTTGACAAATGAATTTGGGATTCCACCAAGAAATTTATTCATCCGCAGATCCATGACTGAAAGCTGACTAAACATTCCGAGACATTCTGGAATTCCCCCCTCCAAACTATTTTTAGCTAAATCAAGAACTCTAAGAGAGGAGAAATTGCAAAGAGAAGAAGGGATATCTCCTGTCAAATTATTCTCCGAAGTGCTTATGGAGCCATGGAATCGGTTAGATTGAAGGCTGAGAACTTGAAGGCTTGGAAGAACATCTAACCAATGTGGAAAGGTATCATTCAAGCTGTTGTTCCCCACATCTAGAACTTCCAAGTCACTGCAATTAACCAAAGACCGTGGCAGTATCCCTTCCAACTGGTTGCCATTTAGGTCAAGAGTTCTCAATTCACTCTTGTTGACAAAAGAATTTGGTATTCTACCATGAAATTTATTCATCCGCAGATCCAAATAGGAGAGATTAGTCAAGTTTCCAAGACATGCTGGTATTTTTCCTCCCAAATTATTATTAGCTAAGACTAGAACTCTAAGGGAAGTAAAATTGCAAGTAGAAGATGGGATTTCGCCAGTCAAATTATTACCTGAAATGAAGAGTTGTCTTATAGAATCCCAAGTTGTTGATAGAATGGGAAGTAATCCTTGTAGTAAGTTAGATCTGAGGTCAACAATTTCAAGATTTCCAAAAGCAAATAAATCTATACTAGTCAAAAAGTTATAAGAAAGGTCTAAGCTGACCACTGGCATCCCTTCTATTTCCCATTTGTGAATTTGACCAGAAATCTTATTCTTGGAAATATCCAATTCATGCAATCTCTCTGCCTTCCTTAAGAAACTTGGGAACTTGTATATGTTGCAAGAGCATAATCTTAAAGACTGAAGGCGCGGGAAGGAATAGTTAACACTGCTGTCATTATTATTCATAGATAGCAAACTATTACTGGAAAGATCAAGAGTCGCAAGGTGTACAAGCTTCGAAAGCATGTTGGGTGTAATGGTGCCACTCAGATTATTTGAAGAAAGGCTGACATATCTAAGACTCACAAGATCAAAGAGAGAGCTAGGGATTGGACCATTTATTTCATTATTGGACAAATGGACTTCTTCTAAAATGAGATTAGGCATCTCAATATGATCAATAGGTCCAGTAAGGCTATTATTTTGGAGGTTTAAATAGAATAAAGAGGGCAGAGAAAACAACCAAGATGGTACTCGCCCTTGCAAAAGGTTGAAAGAAAAATCTAAGTAAGTTATCTTAGAAAGATTTGCAAGAGATCTAGGAATTGATCCATAAAATTGGCAGCTATGAAGATTCAATTTTTTCAGGAGTTTAAGCTTTCCGATTGAATGAGGCAACTCTCCTGAGAAGTTTGTGTTTGCAAGGTTCAAATACTTGAGGGTACTACTTTGGTTTGACTCGGCCAAATTACCTCCTAAATCAAAGTTGTAGCTTAAATCAAGAAGCTGGAGAGATGGAAGCTGAAAAACTTGGTTTGGAAAGTTTCCTTGCAGAAAACAATCACTAAGGCTCAAATGCTCCAAGGAAGAAGTCAAGTTTAGCAAGGAAGAAGGCACAACCAGAGCCATATTCACAGAATCAAGGATAAGAAACCTTAATTCTGTTAAGTTATGCACAAGCATTTGAAACTTGTCAAGAAACAAATCATCATTATGAGAGAGATCGAGTGAGACCACTTTCTTCAACTGAAAAAATGGCTCGGAAAGTTTCCTTGCAAATTACAAGAGCGAAGGCTGAAATGCTCCAAGGAAGAAGTCAAGTTTAGCAAGGAAGAAGGCACAACTAGAGACATATTCACAGAATCAAGGATAAGAGACCTCAATTCTGTTAAGTTATGCACAAGCATTTGAAACTTTATGTTGTCAAGAAGCAAATCATAATTATCAGACAGATCGAGTGAGACCAATTTCTTCAACTGAAAAACTTGGCTCGGAAAGTTTCCTTGCAAATTACAAGAGCGAAGGCTCAAATGCTCCAAGGAAGAAGTCAAGTTTAACAAGGAAGAAGGCACAGCCAGAGACATATTCACATAATCAAGGATAAGAAACCTTAATTCCCTTAATTCTGTTAAGTTATGCACAAGCATTTGAAACTTTATATTGTTAAGAAACAAATGATTATGAGAGAGATCAAGTGAAACCAATTTTGGTGGCAAGAAGATTTCATCAAACAGGAGAGAGCCATCCATGTATCCTGAATCTGAATCTGCAAGGTTAAAGGTTTGTCACATTAGAAGAAGTGAAACCGGTTTCAGAAGCATGGAGATTTTAAAAAATAAAAAATAAAAGTGAAGAAATGAAATCTCGTACCTGAAAGATTAAGATATGTCAAACTCTTCCAACGGTCGAACCCAAATGAGATATTAGGGTAATGAAAATAATTGTAAGACAGGTTGAGACTTTGCAATTTCTCAAGGCGGAAAAGACTACTATCTGTAGTTAGATTGGCTTTAAGACAATTACTGCTAAGATCAAGGCCAATCACGTGACCTTTCCGCTTGTCGCATGTTATGCCCTCCCACAAGCAGCAGTCTTTTCTCTCGTTCCAAGTTTGTATTATAGGACGAGGAGTAACAAAACAGCCTTCCTTCATATTAGTAGTGCTTTTGAAATCAAGCAATGCAGAATGCTCTTCAGGATGGAACAAATGTGGCGGTGAATTAAGAGAAGATTGAGAAGGTGAGGAGCTTTGGACTCGAAACTGTAACAAAATGAAGGAAAGGCAGAGGATTTGGGAAAACCATATTAAGCCTCCCATTTTCTTAATGATGAACACAATTCAGCAAACAAAGGAGTGATGGATTATTCAAAATTGAAGTGCTGGACACCAGTATTTATCGTCTTCCCAAAAGTGAAAGTCCTCCAGCCTTTTTTTGAGTAACGTGTAAATTTCTTTAGCCGGTCTAATTCCTTTTTTATCTTTTTATAAAAAAAAAAAATAGTGTTCATACAATTAAACTTTTTTTTATAGTTAATAAAACTGCACTTGTATTCA